ACAGTCAGGGTTTGACCCGATTCCCTGAGGTTTGCCGAGGGTGCGACTCGGAGGAACAAGTCACAGGGGACGAGGAAGCGTGGGAGGAGGAAAGAGGAGCGCAGTGTTGAGGACACGAGCAGGCAAGCAGGCCACAGAAGCAGCCCGGCCCGTCTTGTGAGTGGGGAGCCACGCCCCTTCTCTGTGACTGCCTCGGGCTTTCTGTCACTGAAGCCTGCGGAGTGCCCAGCCTCACTCACCGTCCATGCTGCCTGCTCAGGAGCAAAGGCTGGGAGGGCGCTCAGCGCTCGGAGCCGAGACGCGGGGAGGGAGCCGGCGGCACTGCTCCAGGCGGGCGGGTCTCTGGGGGACAGCCGTGCCCACGCCTGTGCGGACGGTCCTGTGGGGCTCCAGCTCTCACTCTCAGTACGTCTGTGCGCTCCCAGGCCTGGCCTCGGGCCGTGTACTTGGATCCATGCGGTACCTGTGTGTTTAGCTCTGACTACGCGAACCCCACAGGGCAGACGGCGGCATGAAGCCGCAGACCGTGCTGCTCAGAAGGCCCGCGCAGGTGCCGGCCAAATGACGGCGGCCTCTGTCGTCAGACCCCTCAGCATCAGCCACGTGACCAGGACAACTCTGCGAACGGTGCTGTAAGGATTCGCCCAAACCAAACATTATTAGGAGGACCAAGTGAAATATGGATGTCCATTCACAAAGTGCACATTGTGCGGCGACATGCGAATAAACAGTCTCGGTTAGCGAGAGACAGAGAGTCTGCTGATTTCAGCCTCATCTTCTGCGTGACAGCCATGTGCTTCCAATTCGCATGTCACTCAGTGCACGTGGGCCAGGGCTGAGCGCGCAGGGCGTGCTGACCGATGCGGCCGCAGCCTAGGCCCAGCTCTGTCCGTAACCGTCCCGGAGGCCAGGGCCAGGCACCTCGAGCTTCTTCGCCCGCCCTGCCCAGCAGCTCGGGCATCGGCGTGTAGAGCTCACTGCCCGAGGGGAGAGCACCTTCGGTGACGTCTCTGACAGCCCTGGGTCCGGTCCCACCCGGCCTAGGCAGCCACGGCTGGATTCTGAGCTGGTCATCTGGATAGGGGTGCTGTCTCCAGACTGTCTCAGTGGTATTGCAAACTGTCCCGAGTGCTTGGGGACTCCAGCCCGAGCCGGAGCAGCTGGGGGGCTGATGCCTGACCCCATCCCCTGAATGTTCAAGGCACACAGAAAATAAGCTGGCGCTGAACCCAGGTGCACAGTCATGTTACAGGGTCCCCTCAGATGGCTGTTCCCAGACATTCCCAGGAATCCGCTTTCAAGTGAGGAACACACATTCCACGGAACACACACGAGGTCTGCAGTCCAATTAGCGTCACCGAGGACACAGAATGTTAAGTGGTCTTCAGAATTAAAAGCAAGGGGTTGTCAGCCTGGAGGAGGATTGGTTGGGATGATAGCTTATCTGTGAGTGGCGTCTGAAGAGACATTAAACGAAAGGTGAGAATAGCAGGCAGGAGGGAGGCAGCCACCTTCTCCAACCTCAGCGTCTTCCCTAGGAGGCTCAGCGCACTGGACACCTGGATATCAGGTCAGCACGGACGAGCCTCAGGGTGTGAGCAGCGGCACCCAGACAGTAACTGACGAACCGCTGCACAGACCCTCCTCAGCCCCAACTCTCCCCTCTCCCCTTTGTGAAGAGGAGACTCATTCGCACATGAATTCATTTTGGAAGAGCTGATCCACAGTTAACTCACTGTAAAATCTTCAAAGCGAAAACCGACAACAGGTTGGCAGTTTATGAAGCATGCCTGGGTCTGACCTCAGAATGGAAATGTCCGCTCTCAGCCGAGTCTGGCCCATTTTTCTTTTCCTGGTGTGCCTCTGAGCTGCAGGAACCAGCCATGAAAAATTCATGCCAGAGGCTCCAACCGTCCCTCCTATGTCCTTAACATCTGCTGGCTTCCCGTCACAGGGAGACTTCAAAGCGGATCCACCCCTGGTGGTGGCACGCTTTCCCCGGGAGTGGAGAGGGGCGCATGCAGCGGTGCCCTGCTTCCCGACGGGCACGGTGGTGCAGACCACACTGTTATTTATCTTACCCGCGGGAGGGGAGAGAGGTCCAGGGACAGTCACGCCGTCTGTGGAACACGGGCAAAGCAGCCGGCGGTCCTGTGACAGGACAGCGTCGCACTCCGACTGCCGTGTGTTTAAAGCATTCCTCTATGTTGATCTAAACCCTCTTCATCTCTTGCTTCCCAGCAGCTTCGAGTGTAGCCAAAATATTTAGCGAATGAAAGGTGGTAAGGTTCTGAACTCTCAAGTACACAGCTGTTTGGAAAAGATACGTGGCTTCCTCTTGCTGGCTGGGGGAGAGCTCATCACTCACTCAGATGTTCTGAGACAAGGCAGAGTCTTGGGAGCTACCCAACTTCTGTGCAAGGCCATCCCTGTGGGGGGCGGTGCATCACAGCAACAGAAAACTGAAGTGGGGTGCACGGCACTCCAATGTTAAATTAATTATAGTGCAATCCACCAGGAATCTAATTTCCAGTACCTCACAATCCTGGCCGTACTCACTACGTGAAGGTTCCCTACTTTAATCTCCTGATGCTGAGGACAAATTTATCTTTGTTAAATGCTAATTGGCTGTAATATCTTTTGATTCTTCAGAAATGCTGGCTGGCAAGTTTTTAAAAACATTCATCAATCTTGTTTGGTGTTTTTTTTTAATCGCCTACATCAGAAAAAAAGATGTCTAAGTCTGCAGAACACACTGTACCCTACGACTAGCGTGAGCAGACCTGGAGAAGACCTCACCTATGGTAAACCTGGGGGCGGGGCCCCGCCGTCCTGTCTCAGGCTCCCACGCCCCTGGCGGCCAGGGCCTGGCCTGCAGATATGCTGGCAGAGCCCTCTGGGAAGTCCGGGAAGGAGCAAGACCGCACATACAATTCTGGGATTTTCTGCAGATTTATCAAGACTTCTGATCTTCACAAGTTTTCAAAATAGAACTTTTAGTGAGAAATGCATAATTGGGTGCCATGTGTCTTTTAGCTAAATCCAATATGTCAACAGGAAGTTCTCCTAAGAATTAAAATAAGGCTGTTTCCTCAACTCTTTCTCACATATTCACCCGTCCCGATACAAAGCAACGAATATACAAGGGAATAAAACGCAGTTTTCTTCTAAGATGTGAAACAAGTTTGTCCACACCATCAACCTCCATATCTCTCTCTTTCTACACATTTTACCGGGTGCCAAGAAAAGGGAAACATATACAAGGGAATAAAAGGAAAGGACTTAATTGGAATATTTATGAGCCGCTGCCAACATACTTCTTGACTGGAGGAGATCATTGAGAAGAGTTGCATACCCCAGTCCCCCACCGCCATGGGACTGCACCGCCATGGTGGCTGCCCAGCCGCCTGAGTCTCCCCACGGCCTCGATGGAGTGGGCGCCCAGGACGCGCCTGGACACAGGCTGCTTCACAACTGCATGATCTCCGCATCCTGTTGACCAGAACCTTCCTGCATCCTAACAGACGGAGGCCAATTTCCTTGTTTCTGACTCACAATTCCACCAATCTGACCTATAATCACCCTGGTATGTATATTACAATTTAGTGCTGAATCAGATCTGCTGGGCAGATAAATGGCTCTAGTTGTAAAACTTCAAAATCATTAAAGTAATCCCGATCTATTTGATAATACAATGTCCATCCTTTATCGTCAATGTTGAACAAGTCTCGATAAATCACATCCATTTCCCTTACGGGTCTGGGTTCAGAGGGTCCTTCTAACAGCAGTACATCCTGCCCTGCCTGGCTCCTGTGAGCCCGCTCCTGATCCAGGGCAGACTCCACAGCACTGACAAGGCCTGCTGCCGGCCCACTCCGCACTCAGCCTACAGTCTGGCCAGGACTCGGTCCTTCCAAGGAATCAAGCAGCTGATGGCAGGATGGTGGCCGCGTAGGAGCCTCACCAGGAACGTGGGGCCTGTAATTCCCAGTCTCCTGCCCCCGGGGCTTGCTACAAACAAACGTTCACGCAGAAAATGCTACTAGAAGCCACTGTGACCCTCCAGGACCACAGCAGCACCCACCATGAGCCTGGCCTGTGTGCGGAACAGAACTTCTCAAGCTGCCTGGAGGGGAGAGCCATCCCTTCAAGGTGTTTTTGAAATAGATGAAATCTATTAGCATACAGACAAACCCATTTAACTCACTCTTGTGATCACAATATTTTGAAATTTATCACAGGGCCTCTTCCCGGTTGCATTTTCTCAACGGCATTATCGCTGCGTTTCAACCGTGAAGCTTCACGCCGCCGCAAGCGCCAAGCGCGGCGGCCACCCTCTGATCTGCGTGCTTTCATCTCCTCGGTTCCAGTGCCCGCTGTGGGTCACGCCCCCTTCTAGCAATGAACCCTGGCAGTAGGACGCCGGCGCCTTCTCTCAAAGGCCAGGCATTTGCACTAAGCTTCCTCAAACTAAAACGTCCTTAAATAAACTGAACACGTAACTGCAATTTGTGTGTATTCTCTGCTTGATGCAGTTAAATCAGGCAGAAAAGAAACGGTCAGCTGATTATACTTAAGAAATACTAATTTGAACACAATATTAGTATAAATATTAATCAGTATAAATATTTTTGCAAGGACATTATTAAATTAAAAGAATGTAACCTGTGCCTAATCTCATCTCAAATAAGATTCACAGATACAATTCCTATACGTCAAAAGAGGTGTTTTTTTTGTTGATAGAAACAGTCTACATTAATAGTATACAAAACCAAAAAATGTTAACTCCCCCAAACAAATTTTGAAGACCTTGCATCAGAATTGTGAGTCATATTCACATTTTCTGCCCATCACGTCCGGGAAAGCAACCCCTGACAGCGGAAGGACAGACCACAGCCACAGCACGGGGAGAAGGCCGACTGCAGAACGCCCCGAGCCGGTGGCTATTCACTGACCCCGCCCCCGCCGCTCTCGGCATGACAGTTAGGTTTCGGACTCACTGGCTACGCTCAGGTGAATGGGCGGGCTGGTCTTGTTCTCTCCGTTCCGCTCGTTGACAGCCTGCACGTAGTAGGCCCCGGCATCACCTGCTGTCACCGCCAGGATCACCAGCTGATGCTCCAGCGTGATGGCTCTGTGTCAGAGAAGGGACAATGTCAGGGCTGCTCTGAGGAACCTCTTATTTGTAAGAGACATCAACTTATTAGGCCAACTGTAAAGGAATGTCCCGAGGTTTTCCAAGGTTGGAAAGGACCTGGAAGGGCAGAACCCCCGCCTGACTCGGACCCAGGGCGGAGGCAGGGCCTCTGGCGTCCAGCGGACCGCTCCTGCCAGTCTGAGGCTGCAGGTGCTCCACGTCTGCCGGCCCTCGGCTGGGAGGAAGGTGAGGAGCAGGTATATCAGAGCTTCTTCTGAAGTCTGTAACAGAACAAGCTAGAAGTCCAGAAAAGCTGGCCTTTCTCCCTCAGGCAGACCTGCCTGATCAGGCCCTTCAGGTGGAGGGCTGGACCACCAGGACCTGGACCGGGGACTGAGGAGCCTGTGTGTCTATTTCTAGACTGATGAGTACAGTGGGCACAGTTCTCCCAGAGCCACCAACTCGAGGACCCATGCTCTTCACATGTACCCCCCCACACACATCCTAGAAGGGCATGCAATCTGCTAATCATCACCGAATCCTTCTACTGGGAAAAGGGATCTCTGAGACACAGGTGACCCACCCACCTTCTCTTTAGAGATGAGGAAAGGGAGGACCAGACAGGTTAGGTTGTTGGTCCGAGGTAACACAGCAAGGTAACGATACAGGAGGGAGGACTAGGCCCTCGCACATGTACCCTGGTGCTGCCAACCCAACCACACACTCTCACAGGTCGCTTATTGAAAAGAAGAAAAGCAGTGAAGGCACAGCTCCCATAAGCCCAAGCAGCTTCGCATCAGAACAGGTGTCCTGGCACTGGTCATGCTGAGAGTCTGCATTCCTTGTACTTGTTTAGGGGGTGGGGAAAGGAACATTTATTAAAACAAAAGTACAAAGGTGGGTGAACTTCTCCTTGGCTGGTGGATGGGGCTTTGAGAGGAAGACACTCTGAGCACCAACATGTCCCTCAGTCTGGGCTCTTATTTCCTGAACCCTGGAAACGGCCGGCACCCTGGGGGACGGGGTGCCTCTCATAACACTGCTCCTCCAAGACAAGAGCTGTGTTTGTTTCAGCCCTTGGCGGCCAGAGCCCTCCAGCGTCAGATAAACTGAGATCTCTGTTCCAGTAATGTAAAAACACAAGACCCTCTCCGGAGGAATTTCAGTATGACAATCTTTCTTTCTGCGACCTTTTGGAAAACTTTTCCAAAAATTCTTGATTTTTGTACGTAATATAAAATTATCTTAAGAAGTTACTGCTCATTCAGGGTTTCTATAGGATATGTTACAATTTGAGGACTCTATGACTAACTTACCTCATTTCTTATTTAAGAAAATTTCTCTATTAGGAAGTTTTCAAGTTTTAATCCCATAAAAATATTTTTTAAAGTTTTATATTTTTGACTCCTTTATAGATTCTTTTAGAGAACCATAAAAATTATTCCATTTTACTTTAGTATGTTACACTAGCACCTAAAATTAAATATTAATATTTATTACACACGGAGTTAACACTTAATAGTATAATTAAAAAAAATAACTTTTTGCTTTAACATCTGATTTTTGTCATAATGATTTCAAATATGCCTATCATTTCTCAGAATTATTCTCCAAAAATGTCCATTAATTCTCTATATTATATGGCATTGTTTCAAGGGTACTGAAAAATAAAAAATGCACATAATAAAAATATTAAATTTTACATTTATTATAATTTATATCTTTAAGCGCATTTTTTTCTTTTAGTTTCTAATTTCTGTATCAGTTTAAGTCAAAACTCACGAAGAAAACTTATCTATTGTCAAAAACACACCACAAAAATGCCCAAACCCTTAGATTAGTAAGGGTCAATTCTCCAGAAAACGTATTTGTTTCCCTATCCAACTTTTTTTGAACACAGTGTTTCTATTAAACACACACACACACACACACACACACACACACACACACACACAAACTCTGAGTTTTAGATGAAAATTAAAATATCTAACAAACTTGATTTCAAATTTGGATAATCGTTGTAATGCTTAAGAAGGGAACCATTTTTAATTTTTTTTTCCTTTATTAATTTTAGAGAGAGAGGACAGGAGATGGAGAGAGAGAGAAACACTGATGAGAGAGCACATCAACTGGCCGCCTCCTGCGCGCCCCCACTGGGGGTCTGGCCACGACCTGGGCCTGTGCCCTGACCGGGAATCAGACCGGTGACCTCTTGGTGCAGGGTCGACGCTCAACCAGAGCCACACGGGCCGGACAAGGGGACCGTTTCAAAGGCAGCACAGTGGTGCCAAGCACCCTTCTGAGTCTTCTTCCCTCCCAGACCCTGCCTCTGCTGTGGGCCGCGCCTCCCCAGGCAGCACAGATGGGAGGAAGTCAGCCCCATTCCCCGCGTCAGGTTTGGACCTAGAACCCTAGAGGACAGCAAAGGTGCCCCAGCCCTGTTTAAGACACCGAGGCATCAGCATGGGACCAAGTTGGCCCAACAGACCCAAGGGAAGGACCAGGCTTGGGGGCCGACCGGCTCACCTCCAGGAGACATGCATGCCGGGCGCCGAGAGGCAGCCTCCCGTGGGAGCCCAGGGAAGGCGCTGTGTGCACAGAGGCAGGAGGAAGGACAGATGTCGAGGTCAGACCAAATGAAGACAGAGCCGAGAGCAACGAGGAGAGAGTGAGCTAGTGATCCTTTCACACAAACCTTCTGTGTGTTCACAAAATACTCAGTGAGAACCTCAGATTACTGAGGTTGGCGTTGACTTCCAACATCTTTTTTTTTTTAATCCTCACCCGAAGACATTTTTCGATATTTTGTTCAGATAGAGTGGGAGGGAGGGAGAGGAAGAGAGAGAGAGAGAAACATCGATGTGAAAGGGACACATCGAGTGGTCGCCACCCACACAACCCAACCACGGCCGGGGACAAACTGCAACCGAGGTACGTGCCCTTAGCGGGAATGGAACCCGGGTCTCTCCAGACCGCAGGCCAACGCTCTAACCACTGAGCAAAACCAGCCAGGGCGACTTCCAACATCTTGTCCGAATCTCCACCATTTTAAAGTAGCAATGTGGTTGACAGAGGCAGGCTTGGGTCCGCCTGCCGGCCTGTGGTGAGTCCTTGTGACTCTCTTGTTCTGGGGGCCACACCGAAGTCATCTCATCAGAGCAAAGGCAGGACCCCCGCTCTACGACTGGCATGGGGCTTTTCTCCCTCCTCAGGACACGAACAAGAAAGCATGGTGTCCCGATGCTCACAGTGGCAATTTTATGGCCATGAGGGGGAATGACCTTGGCACAGAGCTGATAACGCCAGTGGCACAGACACAATGCAATGTGCCCGAGTCCTTGACCTTGACAACCTGATGGAGCCAAGGGGCTACCCTGCACCCCTTCCTATCCCTGGACTTCCTGTTTCAAGAGCTCAGTGCTCTTCATTCAGGGTCAGACTTGCTCAGATTAGGGTGTCTGTCCCTGGAAGTGAAGACACACCAAGCAGCATATGCACTACCACCCATTTGGGGCAAAAATGATAAAAAAGTATGTGTCCTCTGTGCAGAGGACAGTGACATTACGCACGTGCTTCAATATGCATGTGTAGACATAGAATGCTAACAGCAGTTAGCTCTGAGTGCAACGATCATAGTTTTGGCTTTTGTTTTCTGTATTGTAAAATATTTTCCATGATAAATAAGTATCACTTTTGTTATCGGAACAACGATTCTCAAAATGAACGCAAGGGCCATGCTAAGTAATTACGGTAGCCAAGTTTAATACTTTGCCCGTAATATGAACTCTGTGGCTTTATTACAACATAATTCCAAAGTACTAATTTAAAACTTCCATTGACTTTACAGAAAAATTATAACATTAAAGCCAGAGAGATTTCCTGTTATTTTAACTTTATTCATGTATGGTCTCCTGTAAAATTATTTCCTTAGTCTTCCCCATCTCAATTCTGATTTTCAAAATGGAATCTCACAATCCTCACTCCCCACCCCACGGGATGACGATGAAGACGGCAGGAAAACAGCAGACACGGGACCTCGAGCAGTGTGGGCGGATGTCTGACCGCTCAGGGAAGCAGAGGCTGGGCCGTCAGGAGCAGTCACAGGGACGCGCTGCAGCTGTAAGCCTGGGGAGGGCCCCACAAGGGGACAGCTGTCAGCTGTCTGTCCAACCAGGGGCCTCGACCCTCAGTGAGAGGACTTGTTCGAAAGGGCCCTTTCTAGGCGCTTTTGGTTTTTCACCCGATTCTACCACTGCTTTCTGGAAGCAATGAACAAAATACTAATTCTCTGTTTCAGAAGAGATGGGAGCTCAGAGCGGCCGCCTGGGGTCTTTGACCGCCAACACCAAAGAAGACACCCCTGGACGGCGGTTTATGCCTGTGGCTTAGGGGCTGGGGTGGGGTTGGGGGGCGCCCAGCTGGGTGAATGGGGCTGCAACTCAGCACACTGTCCGAGGAGACAGGCAGCAGCCAGGCTGAGAGCAGGCTGTCCATCTGTGGCAGGAGGAAGACCAAAGGTGACCAGAGAGGGAGGACAGCGGAGACCGGTGGGGGCCGCTCAAGGTCCGGAGCTCCAGGCCCCAGTCCATGCAGAGACATTTCCTATAGCGTGTGTGGTTAATTCCATTACGGCAGGTACATGGAAAAAAGAGAATTAAATTTATATAAATTCTCCTTCAATCTAATTCTTCTATTTCAACTTAACTGTCAACTCTTAATGACAGACAAAATGGGGGTAAATTTATAGCGTGGGATTTTTAAATGGTAACTCGCTTGTAACCATTTGGGTGGGTAAGATATTCAGATACACACACGTCTGCCTCACATGCAACTGTGCCCAGGATTTAAGCACGGAGGCACGTGGTCGATAAACACGCATTGGATGAATGAACGAAGAGAAAGTCCGGGTGTTCACGCCCACAGATTTGCTCTGACTGTCCCTTCCGGGCTTGCAGCTACATTTTGGAACCAGAACCCGGGCCAGAGGAGTCACTTAC